TACACATGCTCTTCTTCCCATGGGAAGTCTCCATTCCAGCGCTCCCATGACAGTACCCACCTGGGTCGATACCCGGCCTCTATAACAACCTGGGCTTTAAACCACCACTACCGCCGATCCTTTTTTTTCCCGGGTTTTGTGGACCTGTGTATAGCGGAGAAAACACACACAAACACACAAACACACACACACACACACACACACACACACACACGCATATGATCTCTCTCTCTCTCTCTCTCTCTCTCTCTCTCTCTCTCTCTCTCTCTCTCTCTCTCTCTCTCTCTCTCTCTCTTTTTCTTTTCTTTTTTTTGCGTCAAGTTTCCTCACCTTTTGCTGCACCCGTCGAACTTTCTCCACGCCTAGTGTCGAATGTGTCGACGACGGCGGACTAGCAAAAGCGTGGCCATGCAAAACATGCCCTGTCCGAAGGTCTAAGAATCAAAACAAAAAGACGACCACAGTGGTCGGCTCCAAGAAGATATGCCGGGGCACAGAGAGAGAGAGAGAGAGAGAGAGAGAGAGAGAGAGAGAGAGAGAGAGAGACGGGGGGAAGCGGGGTTTGATAAGGGGTGATAAACAGAGAGAGAGGCAAGCCGCACGTGAACGACTGGGAAGGACGACGTTGAAGCTGACGTGCAACGTGGCGCCAAAGGCGGAGAAGGGGAGCAGGGGCAATGGGCGGGATGGGGCGTGGGTAGAGGATAGGGATGTACGTTGACGGGGGTTGGAGAACGACGGGGGAGTGGAGCGGGTACCGTACGCCGATGGAGAAGGGGCCGTCGATTGCTGGGCCCGGCTCACGGTGGACCCTACCGGTGCCAGGTCCCACTACTAGCTGTCAGTGAAGTAAAGGAATGAGAACCGTTCGTGTGTGTGACAGGCTTTTGAGCCGCAGATAGGACGGTCCTAATTTTGTTGCGGTGCAAATCGTAGGACGGTAGATCTTTCTCACACTCTCATTGGCCATCAACTGTGCGAGCTATTCTTTCTCGTCGCTGAAGAGGTTTTCATTGCTGGCGGGGGCCAAGTCTCGCATGCGCCGTTGAACTAGCTCAACGGAATGCTGTGACACGGTTTTTGCTACTAAAAACTCAAAACAAAAGCAAAAAAAGAGAATCAAATGCTGCTGAAACTGGGGAAAGGGGCTGAGGTGGCCGCGCCCTGTCGTCTAGGATGCTATCCTTTCCACGAGGCGCCTACCCTGCCAGGCACCATAGCTGTGTGAGAGCTATGGCGACAGTGCCCTGGCGTAGCCTAGTCCTTGAGTGGGTAGGGAGTGCCTGGCACTCTTACTCCAAGGCATCCTGGCAGCTCTGCGTCTGACCTCCATACCAACCTTCATGCCTGACAGGATTTCGACACCAGAGGAGCCGTCCCCCCTTCAAGCCTTTTGCTGGAAAGGGGGGGCTCCTTTTCCACCATCCAAAGGCCGTGCGCTGGACTTTCATGATTCGCTATCTCTACTGCCTCGGTCAGTAGGAGAAGCTCGGAAGACGGAGCGGCACATCTAGACGCAATGGGACAGCGTGCGGCTGCGGTGGCAGCGCTTCGGCATGTCCAAGGGCTTCAGTTCTACACATCTCGTTTGCATGTAGGCATAGTTTAGGTTAGTTTCGGTAATTCAGCAGGTCATTCGTTCGCACATCGAGTCGAGTGATTGCCTCAATGTCGAGGTACTCGATTGAAACTGCATGTCTGTCTCTTTTACATCCTACGTACATTTACTTCATGTTCCGTTTGCGATCCCTTCCTTTTCTCACCCAATTCGATTCCTTCTCTGGGCTAAATTTCGATCTTGACTCTTTTGCGCGTATTTTAGGGTAGGATTTTCCCTGGAATAAGTTATTGTTGTCTTAATTTTTTTTAACTCTGACTGGACCTGGTTGTATCTGTGGCCATATTCAGTTAAAAAGTTGAGAACATACTCTCCATTTTTTAGTTGTTTTCTAGGTTAGTCTGTCGTATTTGAGGGTATTGCATTTCTTTGATCGCTTAGTTGTCTCTTGATTCCCTTTAGAAGTAAATTCTTACTGTCTTTCTTTTGGCGCGGAGGCTGCCCTTAGTGTTTCGTTTTTAAAAACACGTATTGTTGAAGTATCGTAGGATCGAGAGAGAGGGATAATTGTTATCTGCAATGTATGGGAGTAAATTTGTGATTTTCTCTCCTTGTTTGTTTTAGGAATTTTTGCCTTTTGATAAGTTGGTTTTCTTTGTAGTCATTATAAGAATAGTCGGCACGAAGGAGCAGTGAGAACACCAATGGTTGGATGATACGAGAGACCCGGTAAAGCGCAAACTAGAGTTGTATTCATTTGGGTGCGTGGTGGGAAACCCGTCTTGGGAACAAAGGCTATTTACAGTGTTTGGGACAGTGATGATGAGAGGGTATCCCTTCAACTTATTCTTTTATCGACAGTATGAGTGTCATTGTCAGTGGTGGGAGCGTTAGTCGATTGTAGTCATTATAAGAGTAGTTAGCACGAGGGAGCAGTGGGAACACTAATCGTTGGACGAAATGAGAGACCCGGTGAAGAGCAAACTAGAGTTGTATCCATTGGGTGTGTGGTGGGCAACCCGTTTAGGCAACAAAGGCTCTTTACAGTGTGATTGGACAGTGATGATGGGAGAGTAACCCTACAACTTTTTATTCTTGCCCAGCTCATGGTCTTTGAGCTTATAGGTAGTTCTCCTTCTTAACGACTTGGTCGTCTACTTGAATCCTGGTGGAAAATAATATTGTTGATTTAGGCAACTTAGCATGATGCAATAGTAGTTTAATATCAATGAGCAACATTGCAATGATCTGCTTGACTGAACTTTAGCACCATATAGGATAGTGCCTCGTTCCTACACGACATTACTTTCAGCTTCAGGGGATTTGAGAAAATGAGGATCGATAAGTGAAAGGAAGAGATGTTGAACCCGTTTTCCAGCAACAACCCAATTAGGGTTATTGGTCATATCTTTCGGGTTGTTTGTGAGGAATTTTCGGTCTCCTTTCATTTGTAATAAAAGTTAATGATTCTTCAATATATATATATATATATATATATATATATATATCGTCAAATAGAACTGTCCGGTAAACCGTAGGCAGAGAGGGAGAAGAGGACAACAAACGAGGGGCTGTGACAAACTGTTTCGTCGGAGTTTCACCGACTCATCAGGAGGCTGAACCCTATATATATATATATATTGTTAAAATTTTTCTCCCTCCTATTTCCAAAACAACAATGAATAACCAAATGCTACTGAAATCTTTGTCCATATTTTATCAAAAGTAAACTGAAAAATACAACAATCCTCAGTGAAAGGTTCCACATACTACGCAACGTCGGAGACAGGGACTCACTAGAACATGAAATAAACGTAGATACTCCTGACTTGGTGCATTCACAAAAATGAGTTTGAGGCTGCACAGCCAAACACAGCATGAACACTCTTTGTCAGAGTGTCCTCCCACAAAAGACCATGATGGCACAAGCACCGTTGAACCCATACCCCACTCCAAGTGGGGTATGTAGTTCAACGAAAGACGGGCAGGGTAGCGGGCGTAGTATTCGACCGGAGGCTTTTTTTTTTCTTGGAAAAATTTGTTTGGCGCCCTTATATTTTCCATTATTTTACGTTGCACCCCTCCGACGACCGATTTACCCTGTCACGCCCCTGAGCCTAAAAATCTTTTCGGCATGCCCTTGTCGGTAAGGAAGATGAGCAGGGTAGGGGATGTCGTATTCAGCCGGAGGTTTTTCTTTTCTTTTCTTTTCTTTTTTCGAAAAATTTATCTGGCGCCTCTATATTTTTCATTATTTTGCGTCGCGCCCCTCCGATGACCGATTTACCTTGTCGCGTCCCTGGGCCTAAAATTTTTTTCGGCACTCCCATTTCATTGGGCTCTGCGCCATATGCCCTCATAAGGAACAACCATCTTCTTGTACTGCCCTTGCAGCAGTGAGACACTTGAAATTTGAAATCCCTGTTGTTGTCGATACGCCGCCGATGCGGACAAGCTCGTGAAGACCAACCTCCCGTCCCGCTCCTTGGAGTTTTTCCATCTCGCCCTCTTCATTCTCGCTCATCGTTGTTCCTCTGCTTTGTGTTCATGTCATTCTCTTCCCTGCGACTTTGTTTGTGTGTGTGTGTCGATAGGATGAGCAAAATCGAATGAATCTACTGCTAGAACACGAAAATATACACTGCCACACTTTTTTTTTGTGTGAGATAGATAGATAGATAGAGAGAGAGAAATATACATACATAGGTAGATAGATAGATAGATAGAGAGAGAGAGAGAGAGACAGAGAAAGAGAGAGAGAGAGAAAGAGAGAGAGAGAGAGAGAGAGAGAGTAAGTTTCCAACCTCGCGGCTGACCTCATGCTACTTCCATCGATAGGATGAGCAAAATCGAATGAATCTAGCGCTAGAACATAAAAATATACATTTCCACACTTGTTTGTTTGTGTGTGTGTGTGTGTGTGTCTGTGTGATTGTGAGATACGTGCTCTCTCTCTCTCTCTCTCTCTCT